CAAGACTGAGTATTACATCACCATATGTGGGCATGTGTGTCCTAGACTGGGACCCACTTCTAAAAACAGAACACATTTTTCCATGGTGCTTCCAGTGATTGAAAACTCCGCAGGGTACATTTAAATCAATTACGGGCTTAAACTAAATTAACAAATCAGATGTAAAAAGAACTGCCAGAGCCTTTGATCTGATTTAATATGGAAAGGTTGAGTGGCTGACTGAAATGATGAAGTTTTTTCCACTAGCGGGCCTAAAGAAAATATTTGTAGTCCAGCTGTTTGTGGTTATTTGGTCAAACACATGTAGGAATATGCACCACGTAAATCCAGCTGGATTCAATTCAATGCATCAAATTACCAAAATTCAGCAGATAGTGACCGTGGACACGGGGCCTCTGAGGCCCTGTGCCATTCCCCTCGTTGGCAACTCAACCTCAGCTCTGAGGCTATCGCCTCCATCCAGCCAGCTCACCTTTCTCTAAGCTGCTCAGAGTTCTTCTCCATGCTCTCGTTCTCCGCATACTCCATAAGTTCACGAGCTGCGCGGCCCATGTTGACAGCAGTGGGCCTGGCTGAGGTCAGGTGACACAGAGACTCCCTGATGAAGGTCACAGGGTCATCACCCCCGGTGCCTGCTCGCAGCTCCACGGCCAGACTGAGGCAGCCGACAATGGCGATGGCTGGGGCGCCACGCACCTGGAGGAAAGAAAGGACAGTCATGATCACACCATGGTCTTCTTCTTTGGTTTCCATGCCAACTTCCAGCTTTGCTCTCCCAAATTTCATGAGCATTATTAATCTTGTGTCACCACAAAGTTTAACGGGTGATCACAGAGCCAAAAAGTTGTCAGGACAGCTTTGAGTGAAATGATATCATCTTTGTGTTGAGTCATTTCTCCCTCTACCATTAGACTCCATTATCATCACCCCCTGCTTATGGCACATTCCGTCACTCTGCCACAGCCAAACACAGAGCATACATGGAGCTGCTGTATGTGTGTGTACCTGGGAGGACAAAGGAGTGAATGCCTGCCCTTCCCTAACAGGTGAACGTCTGAAAACGTTCCAAGCTGCTACAGAACTTGAACATGCAACAACTCTCTGAACACATCTGTAAGTCTGGGCTTCAGGTATGAGAGATCAACGGAGTGGAGGTGTCAGTGAGTGCAGCACAAAACCAAAACGCTAACGAATCCTGGCAAAGGTCATTAATAATTCATTAATAATCTCTCGGAGGATGATGGATGCCTAGTTTGTCGAGCTTGCACATGATAATGTTAAAGGTATGAATAGAGGATGTGGGTAGAGCATCGGGGGGCTGTGTGTAGCCGGGTAGTGCTGCAGGTGCATCCAAAACAAAAATACAGGCCGACAGCTGGAGCAGAGCGGCGAGCAGCACATGGGTGCAGCGATGTGAACACAAAAGATCCGACAAAAAACACACAAGCACTACGGGAGTACAAGCACATGCAGCAGGTATGCTTGACCGGCTGGGCAGTGGGTGGAGAAACAGAGAGGACCCCCGTACCTTCATGGACTTGATGGCCTCGTAGGCGTCCTGCACGGAGCGGATCTCATCGTAAGCGGTCTGGTGTGGCAGCAGCAGCTGGTTGAGGACCTGCAGAGACCCGGCCCGGTAGCGGATCGCTTCCAGCGTCATGGCCGAAAAAACGAGGCGGGATGGTGGTGGGAAATAGCACGGACGGACAGGTCGGGGAGGTGCGCGCACACGCACTCACTCACACACTTTCACACACACACACACAGTCTCTCTGGAGCCGTAGCGAAGAGAAGACGGAAAGTGTAGCGGGAAGAGGAGAGACGGAGGAGGAGGTTCGTGTGGCACGGAGTAAAACAAAAGAGGAGAAGGTCTGCTGTGTGGTACGGGAAGACAATAGGGGAGAGGAGTGAGAGAAGGGTTGGAAACCTTCACACACTGACAGACAAGGAGCAGGGAAGCAGACGCGAAACCACGTGTTCACCCGAGCAGGAAGGCCTGGTCTCGGTGACCACGCCCACCACAGTGTCGCGGGTAGTCCGGTCCGCTGCTGTGCACCATCCCCCTCTCATCGTTCTCCCCTTTTGTTGGGGAAAATTTCACATTCAGATATGTCATTAGCATAACACCAAAGCATCCCCCCCCCCAAGGACGGCAAGCAATGTCTGTAAAAAAGATAGGTCTATTTTTATCTCAGGTTTTATTGTTTTAACTCTTCTTTTTATTTGACATGGGTTTTACGTTCATCCCAGTTTCCTGTGTGTAACTTAATGCATAACCAACCCATATTTCTAATAATTTGTTATTAAATGAATTAAATAAAACACCTCACTTGAAATGGGCCCAGGGTCCAAGCTCCACTGCTAACTAGAAATAAGTTTAAAAAAGGGGGGAATGGTAAAGAGATTTCAGGTCAATGACGATACAAACTCAGTGTTATTTCACCATTTTATTCATTACCACCGACCTCATACATAAAGCCTAAACAATCAGGCCTTGATACATTCCTATTTTGAGCTGAACAAATGAGCCTGACTTACACTTTAAAATAGTGACTGAGCATATTATGCTGCAGATTTACTGTATATAAATATTACATTCATATTGATTGCCCTTACATGATTTAACAGATTCTTAAAAATGTTATAGTATTTTCCCAGATCCAGATGAATACATTTACTGCAGCTAACTGAGACAGAAATATCAACAATAATGATAAACAAACCATCAGACTTTCTCTTTTTTTATAATGGAGTGTGGACAAATCACCAAGGTGGATTAAAAAAAAAAAGAGAGTGAAAAACAAACTGAAAACAGAGAATAGGGAGGAGTGTGTGTTGTGTTGTATTTGGGGAAAAAGGAGTGTAAGACACCAGCAGGACAAACTTTAACAATATGTCCCTCTGCTCAGGTCCTGACCATCCAGACACCACGCTGAATGCTGATGAGCCCATTGTCATGACAACGGGCCAGCCTCCGAGGCCAGAGGTTGCTGGAGGATGGGGTTATGTGGCAGGAGTGAGTGTGTGTCTGGGGTGAAATGGGGTTAAATCTTTGCACTGAAAGAAAGGGGTGCCTTGAAGTTGCTTTAAATGCTATTAGAACCCAGAAGGCAACAACCCAGAGATATGGGAGCCTGGCAGCCACGTTCGGTCGCTACTTGACCATACCAGTGAATTTGCATATTCTACCCCAAATCACATATACATTACAGCACTTCACACCACAGCTAGTGTTCCTGCAAATCATATTACTCTACAGTAATCCAAAATAATTCATTTGTCAATTTCAAGCAAAAATGTCAAATTATCCCTAGTTCTAATTTATTAATTGTGAGTTTGCACTGCTTTGTCCTATTCAACACTAAACGGAATATTTATGGGTTTTGGTCTGGTGATCAGACAAAATGAGCAATTTGACAATGCCACTTGAGGTTTTAGGAAGTACAAAGTAGCATTTTATCAACCAGAAAATAACTGGAAGTGTAATTAGTAATGAAAATAACAGCTAAATGTAGCCCTAGACTTTAGTGGCATTGGAAGGGGAGTGCCATACAAATCACCACAGACTATGAAGAGCTCTATTAGGTCAACTTTAAACACGATTATTTGCCAACTGAATGAGGCAGCGAGTGGATTAGGGCGAACACGTGATTCTCTGCTCTGTCACGTGACCAAAAACTATTTGTGGTGTTTATTAGTGGGGCACATCATCAGCACACATAAACGTATGGTAACTCTGCTTCATGTGTGAGTGTGCTGGCAGGGTTAGCAGGCTGACACAGACATAGAAGAAACATCTGTCCAGAGGACTACACAGAGCAGAGAAAACAAAGCAGCGACAGGATGACTGTTTTTGGACATCTAGTGTTGCTGTGGTAAACCATTCATTTCAAGGTGTCTGCCTTTGTCAGCTGGGATCTGCATCTTACAAAGTTTCACCACATGCCCTTGACTTTACAGCCACAAAAAGGTGTAATGTGGAGAGGAATGACAAAGATGCCTATGACAGGGATGTCTATGAGGGAACAGAAATAGAAATGAGCAATTACCCAGCCTTACTGACACATATTGAGTTGTCTTCCTGTGGGCAGGCAGCCAGCGGAGAGCTCAGTGGGACAGAATCTGGTTTTGTAAACTGCACACGCCAAACTGTGTGGAAAAACTGCCAAAAACGGATGCAGCAGCTGTTAATTATTTTCTTATTGACAGCAAAATCAACTTAAAATTGTTTGAGTTTAAAGAAAAATTCAAGAGGAGCAACCCATTACTCAAGTCTCTGAATATCTGCAAAAGAATTAGTGTGGAAAAAAGTGAGGATAAAGAAGACAACAGAAAAAGGAGTGATCCTTCAGCAGGGCTGAGCTTCTACAACATTCAGAGCTCGCTGTTAACACCCCCTCTCCCACCCCAAAGACGGCACTATGTCTGATCTAGTCGTCTCCTTGGTGACACAAACACTAATCCCTCAGTATGGGATGTACGCTGCAGCACCCCAAAGCCCTGTCTTTTTTTTTTAATTCCCATATCACACCACTCCAAATGGAGGAGATTACTGTAATCTGGGAACACTGGAGCAGACAGATTAGATTAAGATCATCACACACTTGAAATATGGAAAAAGAGGCTAAAAACACCTCAGTCAATGGGTTAAATATGCTTCAGACCGCGCGCACACACACACACACACACACAAATTTTTGGTCATCAATGGACTGAGCTGGCATCAAATGTAAAATGTTAAGTCTTCTTACAGATCTCTTCTCAAAAAAAGAAGAACACAATTAACAAAATACAGGTCTGGCCTGTAAATCTTTAGAAGACTTTTTGTGTAGTGTCTTTCTTGTTTAAGTGCAATGACCTTGCCTCTGCTTTAGCTCTTTAACATGTTTTAATGCTCTCTTTTATTCCCATGTGGTTACAGATTTTTCTTAAATGATTGCGGCAGGTGACTAACCACAAGTGACACGAGCCATATCATCAATCGGCAGAAGCAGCAGGAAGTTTCATGCAGTTGTCATGGAAGTGAACAGCATCGAATCATGCTAAAGGTGCTTTAAGTACCAACTGTAGTGTTTGTATAGGAGTGCATATGAAACAGTACTCCAGCCAAGTCTCCACTCCCATGTTCTCCTCTCATCCAGTGCGCTTCCTCTTCAGCGATTCCAGCTGGAGAAACAGAAAAGGAGTGCATAAATTATAAATATGCACATATACGAAAATGATGAAACATCTATATTGACAGTCCATAAAAACTCTCACCTCATTCTCTACCATCTTCAGCCTGCCCAGTGCATCCTTGGCAGCTTCCTATCAAAATAAAAAAGAATAAAAACTTTACAAACACACACTAGAGAGCAGCAACAATCACATCCACAGTCACCTCTGACCGTGCACTCACCCTGTTGCCTTGGATCGAGTATTTCTTCACTGAGTCTGAAAGTCCTTGTACAAAGCGCCTCAGCACATGTTCATACTCTAAACATGTGGTGAAGGGAAATGTGGGTTACTTGTTTGAGAGGTGGAATCATTCAGTGTAGTGTATGTAGCTGTTTGTGTGTGTGTGCATGTTACCCGTCAGCAGAGCAGGAGAGGCTCTCTCCAGCTGGGCTTTCTGCCACTGCAGTCTGTGTGTGACCTCTTTGTGTTGAAGGATGAGGTCAGACGGAGGATCCCTCCGGTTCTTTTGGAACTCTGCAATCTGAGAGGCGGGCGGAATGACTGACGAGACCATGACGTCTTAGAGAAGGGGATGTTGCGGTTGGACTTGAGCCAAACAAACATGTACACAGACACACAAATACCTTCCTCTCCAGTCGTTCCTTGTCATAGTTGAGGAGACTAAAGCTGTGGAGTTTGTACTGTGGAGGAGAGTTGTTGGGATGAACACTCCTGCTGCTGGCTTCATGTCTGGGTTTAGACCGGGGAGATGGAGCCTGATTTAAACAAACACACACACTGAGACTTCACGGAACTTAATAGTTTTTTTTGTGCTAGGGGTGCACGCTCTTGTTACTCTTGTATTTGCAGCTTTAAGCCTTATGAAGGGGGCTGCAGGATGACAGGAGCTTATTCAGAGGGCAGCAGCTCATGTCCTTACTAAAATCTGGGTTATGCTCAAAATGAATGTTGCTCTGTCCAACAAGGTGTGAAGGTAGAAGTGTTTAAAGCTGTTAGGAATGGCCACACATAAAGGTGGGGTGAAAGCTAACCATCAATTTTTTTTTTAAATTTGCAGCATTTTAACCGTTTTTGATGCTTACTTCGAAATGGGGATAAAAAAAATAGGTGGAAATGCACTTAAAAAGAGGGACAAGACGCTGTAATGGTTCAGTAAAATTGTCCCCTCCTCCCCTCAAGTTCAAGATGTGATGTTTCAGATGCTGCATACTGACCCTCTGACACTTGTGTCCCAACACGCACAACAATCCAATTTTTAGGATGGCACACCGGCTCAGTGTTTCTCACAGACAACAAGGTCCTAATTTTAAATCTGAATTGGCCAGCTGGAGCCTTTGGGTATATCTTATGTCTCTTACAAGATTGTTACTGCATCCTCTGTCGACCGAGGACATAGGACATTCCAAGTCTCTTATATCAGCTCTGAGGACTGAGGATGGTGCTGGAGGAGCCATGACAGAGGAAATGAGACCATCCTTTGTGGAAGTTTTTTGTAAACAGACACGCCTCTTTATCAGAAATCAGTTGGTGATTGGATGCTTCAGATGAAGGATCAGAGCAAAAGATGTCTCATGTCGTTAACGCGTTTCCTCGAGTTGTTTCTACTCACCTTTTCCTCGCATCTTATGTGGGCAGGACTAAGACACGCAACTGAGGGAAACAATGGTGCTTATAAGAGACTTGCGATGTACCCTTTGTGAGAAGTTTGCATGATCTTCCTATGTCCTCTCGAGCGATCCGACTCAGATGCAAAGGCCTTGCTCTACCAGAGTCTACAGACATGCAGTTCACATGAACCATAAACTCTACTCACCCGTTCCTTTCGTTTCTCTGGGGAAGAAGGCGAGGAGACCGGGTCGAGAACCAGCCACTTCTCTGTCACCGGCTGGACATCGACTCCTGATAAAGGCTCTCTCATCTTCACCCTCACCTCTAACTTGCCACCTGTGGCTTTACGTCCATCCATCACCTATGAAACCCATACACACTGTTAGAGCTCGTGTGCACATGCACTTGTGTTTACATGTTACTAACACTCACCTCTATGATCTCTCTAAAGTCACAGTGGTTTTCTAGAGCCTCTAGCTTCAGCTGAGCAGTGCCTATGACTTTGTCTGTCTTGAACAGGCCTCTGTTAACACACACACAGAGGAGATTGTAACTGACAAAAGCACAAATGACATGACATTCACACCACAAATCATGCAGATCAACAGGGAGGCTTCTGCCCCTAATGCCCCAGTGCAGTTACCCCTTGTGGATGATTTCAAACTTGATGCCCTTGGATTGGATGATTCGCTTCAAGCCTCTGTGGCCACGGTTGATGTTGAGTTTGAACTGCTCTTTAAACTCTGGACTGTTGGTGCCCTTTGCTGTGCTGGTTTTGTCCCTTTGAGCCTCCTCCTACATACACACACAAAAATGAATTCATTAAAACACATCGGCATACGAACAAAACAAAGCACGAGTGTGAAAGATTCCTACCGCACTGGGAAAAGGAAACTCAAACTTCACACTGGCATCCAGGTCGTTAGGTGAGACGCCTGCAGGCAGAGAGGCAGGTGTGAGTGCACATATGTCTGACACAGTACTGCCTGGTTACTTCACAAACAAGAGACCTGCCTACCCGAGGGAGCCGGTAGGTTGATACCTCTGATGATGTACAGTATCAGGTCATTAAGTGTCAGGTTGGGGTAGGTCCTACAGAACAAACACCGGAGTCAGAGCCATTCAGAACAAGCATTGTGAGTGAGAGACATCAAGCAGCCAGCATCACTGAAAGCCAAACAACACTGACTGAATGAGTCACTGCCAGTCATTTAACTGTAAGCCTGGATCCTGGAGCAGAGCCAGCGTGAGTCACAGTGAGTCACTCTGACTCATCTACAGCTACAGCCGGGAAAAGCAATTCTCTTCTTGTCAAAAAAATGTTTTCAAAATTAAACATCTGATGTTGGGAATCTTTATAATAAAATATACATTCAGCTAAAGCATCTAATATTGATTCAGGTTAAAATCCCATAAAATTACAGTGAAATAGGAATTATGATGATTTTCATTGGAAACCGAGTCGGGGTAAGAAACAGTCCCTTGACTGGGATGCAACAATGATACAACCACAGCTGATCATTACTAAAAGGAAGTAAAAGGAAACAGAATTTCTAGGAGTGGACAGGCATTAAAGCAACTGCAAACTCCATAACCACTTTTGAAAATGTGTTGCAGGTTTCAGGACATGGCCATTTTGTTAAGGTGGGAAAAAACAATCTTGGATGGTGCTGATGGTTAGAATTCTTATGACAAAAACGTAGATAGACCACATAGAAACTACTGAAATACAACATTTTATAGTAAGTAAAATAAAGTTTTAACTGTTGTGGGATGTTACTGTTAAATAAGAGAGTCTGCAGCCATGCTAGCAGCTCTGTATTTAGGCACCAAATGTCACAGCAATCTGCCCACAAGTTTAAGATATTTCATTAAAGACTAAAAGGTCAGCCTGAGGGTGGTGCTAGATAAAAGGTCAGGAGATCACCACATTCAGTAGAACTGATCCCCTGGGGGCCATAGATGTTTGGACAAAGTTTCATGGAAATCCATTGAATGGTTGTTGACACTGACCAACTACCTGACAGCCATCCTCAGAGTTACACTGCTAGCATGGCCAAATAGCTTCCATGTGCCATTCACAGAGAATCCACTATAAATATCTATCTGTTACGAATTCAAATACATATATGAGTTTGTTGCTGACTTGATAGAGTTGAAGGTTCTCTCTTCTGTGCGGCACTTGGGGACTGGGTGACCTTTGGCATGGGCATTCTTCAGTATCTCTATGTTCTTCATCGACTCCTCCGATAACTTCTCACACCTGGTGAGAAACACAGATGGACTTAACATACAGTACATGTATCTAATAGTGAGATCTTAAAGAACTGTGTCATGTCATAGCTCTGATCTAGACACGGACAGTGGTCAATGAACATATGCATTCCTGGGGATCACACACATCTTGGAAAATAAAATGTTGCTTCTTGGCAATGACAATATTTTTCAAAGAAGGGAGGGATGAAGTTCTTCCAGGAGGCCAGAAAAGTGTAAAAGGTAAAAGATACCATGTGTTAAAGGTATCTGCAAATATGTGAAAAAATTAATCTGTGAAGAAAACATGTGTTACACTGTATGTACATGCAATATGGTGAGGAGCTTCTCTGTGGAGGAAAACTGTTTCTGTCATACACCACAACTATGCTGATGTGGTTACTTGAATGGATCAATTAGAAAATTAACTGAAGATAAATCGAGGAAAATCAGTCTGTCATTAAAAATATCAAATGTATCCTTGTCAAATGTGAGAAACTGCTTGATTTCTATTTTTAATGCCATAAACCATTATTTCATTTCCTCTGATGGTCAGGATTAGCAAGTTGAAGACTTTGAGGTCTAATAAATCACAATGGCATTTGACAGAATTAACAATGAACTGATTTCAAAGCCGTGATGTTTCTGCTGCCTCTGATGTATTTTGACAAAAAAAAAAAAGCTTTAGTGCATTAAAACGGGTTTTATACTATAAAATCAAAAACAGATTGATTCATTCTATTGCTTAATGTAAAAAAATTCATTACAGGCCCAGCTTTGTATTTCAGTCCCCAATGTTTGAGTCGGACTCGAGTCTACAGCACTACAACACCGTACTGGCCTGACACCCAAATATCATTTATAACCCCAAATAACAAAAAGATGGGACAGTATGTAAAACACAGTAATGAGGTAAAAGAATGAAATTATGATTCCATTTGAAACAGGTTATCACCAGTTTGCCAACATACTGTATGTATGTGTGAGAATATTATTGAAATGTTTAAAAACAATGTTCCTCAAAGAAAGATAGGAAGGGATTTGGATATGTCGCCCTCTACGGTGCAGAACATCATTAAAAGATTCAAGGAATCCGGAGGGATTTTAGTGCGTAAAAGTCAAAGGTTGTAAGGCGAAGATGGATGACCGAGCTCTCTGATCCCTCAGACAGCGTTGCATCAATAGTCATCACTCTTCTATAAGCGATATAACCACATGAACTGAAGATTACTTTGGCAGACCTGTGTCAGGCTATACAGTACCTAGTTACATCCATAAATGCTGCTTAAAACTGTACTGTGCCAAAAGGAAGCCCTATGTCAACAGTGTCCATCAGCGCAGTCGACTGCTCTGGGCTCACAGGCATCTGGGATGGACCATCTCACAGTGGAAACGTGTACTGTGGTCAGACGAATCAGTGTTTCAGGTCTTTTTTGGAAGGAATGGAGGCCATGTGCTCCAGACCAAAGACCAAAAGGACCATCCAGACTGTTACCAGCAACAAGTCCAACAGCCAGGGTCTGTCATGGTCTGGGGTTGTGTCAATGCCCTTGGCAAAGGTAACTTACACTTCTGACCTGTTTGTGGAGGAAAAGGGTGTGAGTGCTGGACTGGCCTGTCTGCAGTCCCGACCTGTCCCCAGTAGAGAATGTGTGGCGCATTTTGGAACACAAATTCCATCAATGACGGGCCAGGAGTGTTGTGCACATTAAGACTTGTTTGCACAGATGATTTACAAAACACAATATTCGGTTTAAATTTAGATTTTACATACAGTCCCAACTTTTTCTGATTTTGGGCTGTAATCAAAACTAATCATGATTTAAAATCCATCATAGCTGCAAATAATATAAAATTGAAACATACTGTAAACAAATGAGAAATGCATCTTACTTCAAAGCCTCAGCCACACTGCCTGCTTGCTTGAACCTTTCCGAGTTGGCCAGACATTTCTGTAGATAGGGAAACAAAAGTGGGTGTGGAAAAGAAAACCGACAACAGTGAAGGACAATAAAATAAGGGGCAGTTAAAAATCTGCAAAAGGCATAACCATTATATTTTATCAGACTCGGTATAGGCTGTCCACTGACACACAGCAAGATTTAGAAGGAGCATGCATCTGTGCTAAAACCTGACCTCGTGCTGCTTTCGTAAAAGATCCATGATGCCTTGGTACTGCTCACTGGAGCGAGGGGAGAGAGGGGAGGTACGGGAGCGGGCCAGGGAGTAGTCATCCTCACCTACTGGAAGACTGGGAATCTGTCACGAAGAAGACTAATTACCAATGTGGCCAGAAACCAAAAATGTAGAAAATACTGTAAAAGGTAACTGTTTTTAATGTGAGACATACAGCAAGAGCAAGAGAAGTCAGAACACAAACATCAAATAGCTATCTGAATAATGAACTCAGTTAAAAGCCAAATAAATTTTATAACCTTAAGAAGATTTACTGCTTCCTAATTGTACGCATCCACCAACCAGTCAAATTAACATTAGTGGGACAGATGTGAGGTCACTGTGACCTTAACCCCTGACCACCAAAATCCTAATCCTTGAGTCCAAGTCGACATTTGTGCCAAATTTGAAAAAATCCCCCCCACCCAAGTCATTCCTGAGATATCGTGATCACGAGAAAGGGCCGGACAAACCCAAAAACAATAAAAAATATTCCTTTACTGATTTGCAACACAGCTCTGAGAAGCCCAGATCCCAAATATCCCAAAATTTAATCAACTGGTTCTCTGTTTTCTGACTATCACCCGTCCAGTAGGAATGATAAACCTGAGTTTGTATGATGTTCTGCTGACTGACGAGAAAACAAACAAACGGAGGCACAAGCATAATATGCTTGTTGATTACACTGCGGGACTGGGTCAGCAAGAAATACATGAGTTATATGAAGCAATGATGTTAAATAAAGGTAAGGCAAAATGAAAGAAAGTCATATGGGATTAGTGGCAACACTATGACAAATGAACGGTGGGATGAAGCTGAAAATATGCAGATAGATTCTCACAAACACACGAAAATGCACAGAAGGTGAGACCATGATGAGCACAAAGGTGTTTTGCTTACGCCCCGTGTTTCCTTCCTTCTGTATTTCTCTCACATTCTGTGTTAACACACCTCACACATTCAGATGTTCCTGTGACATGTTCAACACACACAAGCTTGCTTTATCATTTTGAGTGTTACTAATTTGCACAAAAGAATGTATTTATAACCTTGGTGATATCAACAGGTAGGCCAGACTTGGCAGCGGTGATCATGGTGTCTAGTCCCTTGGCGCATCGGAGGTGCTGCGTAGCTCCTGCCATGTCCTGTAGTGCGAACAACCAAACAGCAGCAGATGCATTAGTCAAAGCACAGCAGAACAACAAATGTTCAAGGCTCCAATAAAACAACAGGCAGCCGTGGTAAAGACATCTACAACAGTACAAAGGCAGCAGGAAATCTAACAAAAAAAAAAAAAAAAAGGAAGGAAGGAAGGATAAAAAAAAAAAAAAGTCCACAGCTCACCTTCATCTGTTTGGAGCGCAGTGCTGCACGCATAAATGCCTGTCGCCTTAGCAACAGGAAATCCACTTGCTGCTGGGCTACAAGGATGATTAAGAAAAAAAAAAGAAGTGAAACTCTGCCTTTTGTAACACTCAGACATATTTTGTACATGTAGGCAGGCGTGTGCATGCACACCCATACACAAAACCACAATCTTCCACAATCCGAACACACCTTTCGGTCCCAGCTTTGGAGCTGAGGAGCCTCCAGGAGCCTGTGGAGCTGGAGACTTTGCTTTCTGGGCAGGTGGACGCACTGCAGGCTGCACGGGAGGAAAATGGGCTTAGGATCATCAAACAAATAGATACAGCATTGTTCTCCTAAAGTGCAACAGTTTGAGACAGTTGTGAACTTTATTTTCCATTCTCAAATATTTAAAAAGCCTAAAAGTCTTGAATATATAAAAAAAATTAGCGAATTTGTGAATATACATGATTACAAGCACAAAGGTGATGCAATAGGAATGAGATAAGAGAAAACACTGCTGAGTGAATATCTGCCACAGAAGCTGGCATGGCACACAGTCAAGCACTTCTAAGTTTGGGCCACTAGTAATTAAATTGTTTGGCTGCATGATAACAAAAATAACCATTTGGTTGGGCCTTTTTTTTTTTTTTACCTTGGCAGCCTCTGTTGGACCATCCTCCTCTTCATCTCCTGCATCCGGATCCTGATTAGCGATTTTCATGGCTGTTTCCAGGACACCTATAAAGTTCTGCTGAGCCCCCTCTGAGCCTTGAAGTGGTGGACAACCTAGACGCACACATGAATTAACCTTATAGAGCATCTTAGAAGAAAACCATGAAATATACCTGGGTTCAGAAAGTTACCTGGTGGCACAGGTAGATCAGACAAGTTGACAGGTCGTCCAGCTTTATGAGCTCTGATGGCATCCTGGTATTGCTGTTAAGAACCAAAATACAAAGTGGCTTTTTCACGCATTATAATAAACAACAATAACAAAAAATAATACAGAAAAAAAAGTATAGCTCCTAGTTGTAAATCAAGATCAGTAATGTGTCTCCACCCCCACAAAAGCAATATGCTTCATATGCCTCACAACTCTTTTCCTCCTGTCCCTCATGCTCTTGTTTCATCTGTTCACCCTGCCTCAGTCAAACTGACTTCATTCAGAGCCTTCGTATTTTCTGCATGGTGCCTTGCAACAATCCTCAGAGAACAACACATTATTACAGGTTATTCTGGTAGGTGAAATGAACAACAGTGCTAGTTACAGGCAAGATGACACAGGGTATTTCCAGTCAAAATAAAGTGAGTCACACCAGTTATTTAGGGAAATAAACATGCCACCAAACAGCAGCATGGAGCCAGGAATAAAAGATACATTGCCTTAAATTTAGTTTCAGGTCTAAGGATGGAGTGTACATTATTTTTTGGAAGACAAAAAAAAAAAAGTTATTTCATGCATACTTTTAGTACATGACGTGTACCTTGATAATGCGCTGGTGCATGCGAGCCTTACGTTCATCTCCTTTGCTCTTCGCTCCCTCTGCTGCTGACTTGTAAATATCCATCCTCTGCTGCAGCGCTTCCGCCAAACTGCTGGGAGCAGGTAGGTCTTTGCAAGGCAAACGCGCGCACACACACACACACACACACACACACACACACACACACACACACACTTTAAAATTCAATTAACCCCACTACAATCCTATAATTTATTATGTGCTAACCACTCAGGAAGGAGTATCTAGGCTACTGGAGTCTTACTGGCAGGGGCCACCTGAGCAGGTGCAGGAACAGTGGGGGCAGCAGGTTTGGAGGAAGACTGAGGAGGAGGAGGTACACAGCGCTCTGCTACTACATCTCCTGCACATGATCAATGGAAGGATGGACATGGGTTATTATTATTATAATAACCATTATTAAATCAGTTGAGCAGAAGAAATAAGACAATAAAACCCAGGCAGTCACACTGACCAGGAGGAGGTGGTAGTGAGCTCAGGTCTACTGGCTCGCCTCTGTCCAGTACCTCCACCATCATGTCCAGCTTCTGCATAAAGGAGATCAACTCTATTAGGACTGATTTTTTCACAAGCCTCACACATAACCTATTTACTTACACTGAAAGATTTATTCAAGTGACAAAAACTGACATTGGTTGTGTTACCTTGGCAGTGAGGTAGTGCTGTCTGGCCTGGTCGGTGTCACCACTCTGTTTGGCATTTATGGCAGCCATCTTATACTCCCTCTGTCTGGACAGCACAGCTTGTTTGAGCTCTGGAAGGAGTGAAGACACACAACATGTGTGTTAGTGTGTGTGACAAAATGAGAAAGAGAACAAAATAAAAAACTAAATAAAAAGACTCATCTGGTTAAAAACTCAAGAATGTCACAGTGACTTTTAGCTGTGACATTGGCATGTGACTGTGCAGCTGAGCTCTAACTGATCAGCTCATAGTTTCATACATTTCGTAAAACTTGGATAAATACAATACCAATAGCCATCAAATTCCTTTTAGTGGGAGTGCTAATCTGATGGTATGGATGACTTATTAGAAAGGATGAATTTATCATGTTCCACAGAGTAGACCTCTATCAGCATGTCTTTACCTTTATACAACCAGTAGACAGCATAGAGAAGTATATCATCACGTGTGTATTCACCTGAGTGCTGTGCATCAGGCTGGCTGGGGGTAAGGGGTGAGATGACAGGCGTCTCTGGGGTTATGGCAGCTGCAGGCTTTTGGGGCAGGCTCAGGTGGAGCATCTTAGGGGCTGTCGGCGGAGCTTCCCTCAGAGGTTTCTGATTGGCTGGAGGGGATGGCATCAGTGCTGGTTCTGGCAGTTCTCGTTCCTTGACCGGTTCAGACTCGGCAGTGGCGTTAGGGGTCGCACCGAGAGCAACAGGAGGCGGCATCTCCTCCTCATTGACTGGCTTTCCTTTTTTGACGGATGTTAACATAGACTGTAATGTCTAGGGTTGAAGAAAACAAAAGAACAAATATGCAATGTTTAACCATGTTTAGTCAACAAATCCTAAAAAAGGACCAATTAGAAATTTCAGCACATTAGATAAACTACAGGGATCATCTTGATCAGAGGTTGTAAAAGATATTTCCCCATTTGCTTCTCCATTTTACCTTTAAACCACGATCATAGCGTCGAACTTTGCTGGTCTCCCCAGCAGCCTTGGCATTGGAAATGGCTGTCTTATACATTTCAAAGCGTTCCAACAGACGGGACTCCAACCCTGTTGCACCACTGGGAGCAGCAGGACGAACAGAGTGGGATGTTATGCTCACTTTGGGAGCAGCTGGCGACACAGCAGGAGGGGTGGGAGCAGGAGTTGGTTCTGCGTCATCCTCCAAAACCTCATTAAGTTCAGCCTATGTACAGGGAGACAAAAATATATACAAATGGAATACAAGGGATCAGGGCTGCAACATTTTTTGTCAATTAATGTGTCAAATAATGTCTTAATTATGTTATTGATAAACCATTTTGTTTGTCAAAAAACACGGGCCATCACAATTTCTTAGAGCCCCAGTTTTTATTTTTGTCCAGCCAATAGTCCAAAAGCCAGAGATATACATATGTTAATGACAAGCAATAAACCCTCACACTGGAGAAGCTGCTACCAAGCAAGTATTGCTTGAAAATGACTGATATGACTAATACATTATTAGAAAAATTTTCTGCAAACTTAACTAGTTGACTAATTGTCTCAGCTCTAAAAAGGAAGTAAAGCATGAGTTACCAGCAGCTCTTCATCATCCAAATCTTCATCACCCATTTCTTCATCATCCAGGTCCTTCATACAAAGAGCTGCCATTCGCTCAATTTCAGACATGGGAACAGGAGCTGGACATGGACAAATAGAGTGCATCCGGAAAGTAATCAGATTCTTTCTAGTTTTCCCACATTCTGTTGTTTCAGACATGTCTTAAGATGGATTCAATCCTTTTTTTCCCTGTTATCAATCTACACACAGTACTCCACAATGATAAGTGTGGAGTGTTTAGTTAATGTATTAAAAATCAAAGACTGAAATATCCTGTTTACACAAGTATTCAGACCCTTTGTTATGACACTTGCAATTGAGATCTGGTGTATCCTACTCATCATCTATTGCTTTTCCAGAGGTTTCTTCCATTTTTTTTTCTGTTCGAGGGTTCTGAGGAGTTTTGCCTTATCTGTTTCAAGGGTCTAAGGACAGAGGGTGTTGTGAGCTGTACAGATTTTAAAGCCCCTTAAGGGTAATTTGTGATATTGGGCTGTACATTTTGACCTGACCTGACTTTAGTGGACTACAGAGGTCTAGTAGCCTCACTTCTAACTCCACACCTCCAGATTTTATTTTTCAATCTTACATGCTTCAGACCCAAATGCAGATTTTGGGCTGCTCCATCTGGAACAGTGTCTTTCTGCAACTTTTTTCACATATGCAGTAGTAATCTCCAAGACCTGTAAACACACTTTGATGGGATGGTATATGGTATGGATTACGACCATGTCAACCAAAGTGTGATAATTCTCTCTTAGATATTTGAAGGGAAAGATATCCAGAAATTAACATTAAACAAAATGTTTACTCTGTGAGGGTGTACTAAGAGAATACTGTACAGCAGGTTATATCAAATTCTGAGCACAAGCATATTGGGCAAGACAAACTGTGGAAGGACTGAAATAAGTGCCTTTCTTTCTCACCTTTTCCTTCACCCTTCTTCCCTTGTGATCTCTCTCTTCCTCCTCCCCCCACCAGATTCATCAGCTCTGCCTCCAGCTCTTCATCATTACCCTGATCATGCATCCCCCCATCGGGGTTCAGGTCAAGGAGCAGCCCCATCTGAGACAGACAGGAAAAGAGAGCTGCTGAATCATACCTGTTGCTGACATGTTTACACTAAATATCATCCACACGTCTCATTGTCAGACACAGTGGGTGTCACCTGTTTGGCTCGAGCTGCCCCTTGGCCCCGGGGAGGGGGGTTCCGACTGCGACTCATGGACTCGTTATAACCTAAAAGTTAACAATCGACAACATTAATAGAGCCAATGAAAAAAGAGACAGGAGATGAACGTGTAGCGTTAGTTAACTGACGGTATCCACTTGTCCCTATTTAGAGTCAGCAATGACTTCAGTTGCACCCACTTCTGCGCCATGTTGTGTTATAATTCAGACTGTCTTGTATGGAGTTAGCTTTTGAGCTCACGTTAGCTAACAGCTAGCACAACATACAACACAATCCTTATTGCTCATGAATGAGCAGGCAGGCTCTTTACCTTGTCACGGACCTTGATGTTAGTGTTAACGTACAGCTGCTCGGGTCAGTTAAGTCGAGTACTGCTGCGAAACGACAGGGTAAACAGCACACCAAATACGGGGAAACAGGTGTATTTTGATGTTTAGTTCAAGCTGTCAAAACAAGAACCGTGAGCTATGGAATTTACTTCCGACATTGCGTCTCCAATGGCAACTCGCGCCGCGCTTTACGGCTTGACGAAACACGCCCATTACCGACGTAAATCTCGACATAACGTTTCATCTGATCTCATTTTCAGGTGGGTAGTAGTTATTTCACCTTTAAAAATACAGATATATTGCACAGTCTGTGAGTTACTGTTAGCTTAATCAGCATAAATGAGTTTGAAACTCGGCAAGTACACCGAGTTGTCTACACAGGTCATATATGTAACTTTCTACACTAAGAAAGTGTAACGTTGTTGATGTTAGCTAGTTACTAAATACATTGTGTTTTGAGAAAAAAAATCCATATACAATTGTTAGTTGGCTCTAAGCTAGCCATCAGGATTTATAACAGTTATAGGTAATATTTTTCTAATTTCTTATTTTGTTGTCATGTCTTTATTAAGTTATAAAATTGTTTTTTATTTTAGTTACAGGAAATGACCAAAGGAAAGGTGAAAAACAACAGCAGTGGTAAAGAAGATGCCATTTATCTTACAATATGGGCTGATGTAGCTGTTGACACAAATAATTCTATGACATTTTCAGACAGCTAACTCAATGACAAGTTCTGTTTGACATGCAGTTTAAGTTACAGTGAATCCCCTTCATAGTTTTTGATTTGTTAAGTGAGTTGATCCTTCTGTTTTAAGATGGCATAGCCCCACCTGAGCCTCAGTCACTCAGGTCAAGAAAGAGGGAGCATCCAAGTGATGACGCTTCCTGGGCTGATGATGTTCAGGTTATGCTCCATCAACAGGTAATTTAGGTGACTGAAATAAAGCCCATGTTTATGTTATCAAGTTCAATTTCTGACAAGTCATTTGCCCTTTTAAATTTCAGGACACTGAAAAAAATAATACAGCAATGGTCACCACACCGCTACCATGTCCCCAGTTCCCTCTGCAGGAATGTGCTACAATCACAAAACAGCAGGGAGCAGTGGAACCCTGTCACCAAACAGGAAGGTACCAGATCACCATCTCAAACATGCACTGATCAACTCCAGGTCTTCATACTAACCTCTGAAGAGGGTGATGGATCCTGTGCAACTGCTTTGGAAGAAGGTGCAAATGAAAACTCTCAGTGTAATTTGGAGAGGAATCAAGAAACCACCCAAGAACAATCCAGCAGCATGTGCAAGAGTGAAGTCCAGGAAATCAGAAAGGAGTCAGCAGCGGGGATACCAACCAAAAAGAAGCGAAGGATTGTTATGTGTGGTCTGACAGAGAAGGAGCAGAGTCATTTTTTTACAGACTCAAAAGCTTGAAAATGGGCAGAATGGAGTGGAGAGTGTTGAGAAGCTGATGTGTATTAACACAGCTTCTGACCTTGCGGCTCAGGATGAGCTATCTTCACCCCCGTTGCCATCCTCACCGCTGTCCATCCCAGTAGGCAGTGTTGCAGAGCAGAGTGATGCAGAAATCATACTTCACTCCAGTCACTGTGTAGAAGATAACAGGTCAGGATCATGTAGCTGAATATCTTAAATTGTTTGGTTTCATTTTTGCATTATCATGACAACAGCTCATGAACTGTTAGATTAAACCTAAGTATACTAAATATTGCTAATTTAAAATTTACACAGAATAAATTACGGAGTAAAATTTAGGAAATATGAATGTTGTAAATGTTAAAATTTTAAGACACAGAGGCTTTTAAATTGAAAATTTAAAATAAAATGCAAAATAGGTTGTTTCTTCTTCCCTGCAAACTGGTCTGTCCTTGGCTGATGGTGAGTCAATGACATCTGTACTGATACATCTTTACCTGTAAACAGATATATTAAAACACAAAAAAACTGTTCTTCAGCACACAGGGCAGAAACTGAAGCCTATGTTGCTGTCACCACCTCAGATGGGACCCACACTGTCTGGTCCAGAACAAACGAGTGAGCCAAAGTCAGAACCACTTGCACAGGAGAAAGTGGGGCTGCATTCTGGGAATCTGGAGCAACAGGAAGCTGAAAGAAGTGCAGCTGAAATACCTAAGAAACAAAGGAAGGGAAAGAAAGGTGCTTCTGCAGCTGTCAAGTGCATTTCTGCTGTTACTTTTTTCACAGATCTCCATCAGATTGAGGGGATAGAAAAAGAGGAGGGGAGTGAGGCTGCCCATTTGCAGGTACAGAGAGTGGCCAGGTTTATGGAAAAGAGGGAAGAAGAAATGATGGAGGATGCTGGTGATGGAACTGAAGCAGGTTCATCCTCCACAGACACCAGGCCAGGAGGAGACAGCTGTGGCTCTGTGGAGCTCTGTGGGGCTGCAGTGACACCCAGTGCCTCTGACAGGAAAGACAGTGTGAGTGATAGTGGTAAAAGAACCCAACAAACAGGGTTGATAGGGGAGGAGGCAAACTGACAAAATACCAGTTTACTTGGTTGTGCTGCATGACAGAAGTGTCTTTCAGTCAGAGTTGTTCAGGCCATATTTTTTATCTTCATTAATTCTGCATTTGTTACTATGCCTTTGCCATATTGCATATTACTAATGCAATAGAAGTGCACCAAACTGATATTTACATTCAAGGATATTTTACTGTGCTTCAGTAGCTTTACAGAAACAGTTGCATTTTTTTTTTTTTTTGCTGTACACAGCGTGATCCTGATATTGGACCTGCTGCTGGACCTTCTCCTGTGAAGCCTGAGCACTGGCAGACTATAGACACCACTGACCTGTTTGGATCTGGGTCCTTGGATTTTGTATCAGACTCACAGCTGAACTCCATCGTTCTGACGTAAGGAGGCAAGGAAAGGGGTTATATTTCACAAGAGCCCTGGCAGTCATGTGAGGAGAGGGAGCTGCCTGGAAACAAGGGAGGCTTTAGATAAACATCCAGGGTTTAGCAGGTTCAGGGTTTAGCTCATTCTAAGCTTAAGAAAGCCCACGTTGGTGTCATAACAGATTACTGACTGTCAGGTTGCCAAAGACAGCTCTATAAGCACAATTAGAAAAGAAGTAATACTTCCTTTGACATGAAGATTTTAGAATCAGAATCTGCTTTATTGGCCAGGTTTGTCGGACACAGGAGGAATTTGACTCTGGTACATCGGCTCTCAATGTGTATGTACACATCCCCATGCAAGGGGAAAGTAAACAGTAAGCCAGCATAAGTGTAAACCAGGATGTAATGCAGTGTCATGTTCACTGCATCGTCCACTGGCCTGTTTGCCTTGTAGGCGAACTGTAGGGGGTCTATGGTGTCCTTCAGTTGGGCTGACACCAGTCTTTCAAAGGACTTCATAACTACAGGTGTCTGTAGTCGTTCAGCCCACTGATGGGGGTTTTCTTGGGGACTGGGATGATGGTGGAGCGTTTGAAGGAGGAGGGGACTTCACACAGCTCCAGTGACCTGTTGAAGATAAGTGTGAAGATGGGGGCCAGCTGATCAGCACACACTTTCAAGCAGGAGCAGGTCACACCGTCTGAGCCTGGTGCCTTTCTGATCTTTTGTTTTTTAAAGAGGCCACGCACAACCTTTTCGCAGATTGTTAGAAGTGGGGCGCTGAAGGGAAGGATGGTGATTGTTGGGGGAGTAGCTGCTGGATCTGAGGTGGGGAGGGTTAGGGGGGAGTGTTTGTCAAACCTGCAGAAGAACACATTCAGGTCGTCTGCTAGTTGACGGTCCTCCACAGCGGGAGGATAATTACACTTTAAGACATAGCTTTCATTTCTTCCTGTTCTCAGCATCTGTTTCACCCTTATCTTTAAGTCATCAATACTTTAAACAGGGAGATTTTGCTACAAGATTTTTTTAAATCTGTTTACTTTCTCCCCAACCAGTGTGGAGAAGGAGACAGAGGGGGAGGAAGATCCTGGTTTCTCTGTCTGTCATGAAGATGCCACAGAGCTGGTCTGTGGACTTATCAGAGAACTCTCCTTTCTAAAGTTAGTAACCATTTGATCTATTTTCTGTCAATCTTCTTTTATCCTGTTTTTCTAACCTCCCTCTACAATATGATCATAGCACTTGTCTCTCCTCCCAGAGCTGAACCTTTGACTTCTATCATTGGTCAGTTTCAGCCTCTTCACACCCACCTCTATGCTCTGACGGTGGCAGTCAGCTCTACCAGCTGTAGACTACTTGGCACCTTAGGCCAAGGTCACCTTAAGGGTACAACACCTTATCTGGTCAAGTCTCAGATGTTTAAGCTTTGGTGGAGACACACTGTTTACTGAGAGAAACACTAGACTGTGGGTTGAGTAATAGCCAAAATTCTCACATTGGTTTTAGAGGTTGGGATTAAAGACTTAAGCATGAGGAGGATTTTTTTTTTATATACAAATTTGCATCACTGTACCTCTGCAAGTGCACAAAATAATACTATGAATATCTTAAAATACTTTGTGATAATCCATTTTTCTGTTATTGACAAACAGGGGTTTTCCTCTCAAACTCATCCTTCCTTTCATAAAGTGTGCTGTGTCACTTAGCCTTTACTTAACATCTTCAGCTTCCTTTTGTGTCTCCTACTTGTCTAAAGGTCTGGTAGAAAAACACTGAACTGCCTTGAACAAAGCTGATTATCTGTATTTGTCCTCCTGTTGCTTTCTAGTCAAAAGGTCATGGCCACACATAGGGAGCTAGAGAACCTGCGCCGTGGCAAAAAAACTTCAAGGAGCTCGATACCCTGAGGATTTAGATGAAGTACTTGCAATCCTGCACTTACTGTTGCCTAAATGGTTCATAGGCAATTAAGGCACTTGTGCTAATGTTTAAATTTATCACTAGAAATGTATTTTCACTTTTGTATCATTAACAGCTGGAATGTTCAGTTCAGTGACTTGGCTGTTCTACTGTAGTTCTCCCCAAATAAAGCTCAGTGTTGTTTGCTGTCAGGTGATCTGAGTCCTAACCATTAACCGTCTTTACAGATTTCTGCATCAACTGCCTTACATGGCTGGCTTAAACTGCCTCAAAACAATTCAAAGAATGGAGACTGATGACAAAAGCACAAACAGATTTAGTCAGGTTAGACATGCATAACAACAAAGTTCACAAAAGGTTTCACAAAGATGTTTTTTCACAACATGAGAAGAGCTGAAACAGCATTTTTAAAGAAGCCACAAATAAAATAAAAGTAGCATGCCCAAGGAACATTCACTGTACACATTTCAAAGCAAGAACAAGTTAAATATGTTTAAAAATTTAAAATACTAATATGGACGCATGATGTTTTCATGCTGTAGTACAGTTATAACTTATGACTGTGGGTCGTTTTGTGATAATGTTCGAATCTTTCAATGCATTTGCGGTAAATGTGAGATTGGACACTGACATTTAAAAAATATGTAAAATAAACGTTTCACCGATAAACAGGTGTTCTTCTCCCAAACATAAGATCTGGCAGTCGTTCTTGAATGTAGTTTGCAAAAACCCAGCACCAAACAGACGCTGTTGACCAACAAAAGGTCTAGGCCAACAAAATGTCCAGCAAAGTAAAAACACACCAAACACACCAAACAAATATCACACACAGAAGGATTCAGCCTTCTGTCCAGTGTCTTATTGCTAGCCTGTCACCTGTTGGATCAGCGTCTGGACTTGGTGTAGACAGAGCTGTATGCGCTGTCCACCTTTGGACAAAAGCGCTTCGTATGTGCTTTGGCGCCCGTAGCCCCGCAGAGGGGGCACACATACTGCCGTAAGTAGGGGCACAAAACCTCTCCTGTCTGGCTCTTCAGCCAGTGGGATCCGTACACCAACTCCGACTCCCCATTGTGCTTACAGAAACTGCAGCACATGCGCTCAGATGATGGTGGCGGCTCGGGCGTTTTAAAACTAGTTGTCTTTCTGCGGTCTTTTGGCCCCCGGGGGCCCGTTGGTCTTGCCACAGGCTTACTACCCACCGCACCTGGTGCATCAGAACCAACGCATTCTGCTGCGTAACCTGAATATTCACCGGGGAGACTTTGCATACAGTCAACGGATTCGGTGGCGGTGTTCCGGCCCAGGATGTTTCTGATTGTGTCCGACAGTCCCATATAATCCTTCCAGGGATGGAAAATTTTGGTATTGGATTCCATGAAGCGCGGCAGATGTTGAACGCGTCCCAGAACTATACCATTCACCTCACCTCCTTCGCTGACAACTTTCCTCCTTGTCAGCCAAACACCCTCTGCTTAAAATAATGAAGTTATGTTTAAAAATAAAAAAAAATAAAAAAAACCCAGAGTGACAACAGAACCTCGGCGCCAGCTGCGCGTATAAAACCTTTGATTGGCAATTGAATACAGGTGGTATTCAAACGCACACGCCCCAAGATGCCAGCTGCCAATCCCGTGAACTGATGCGCCATGCATGCTCATTCTCGTCCAATGAAACAAGCCGAGTGATGCCGTGTATTCAGCCTCTTCACGTTCGTATGCACACCGCTACATCTTATACTGTATTGACATCTCACATAAATCATTTGTTGTAGAGACAAAACCAGGTGTTCAATTGTGCAAATCCATATTTGGATGATGTGGAGTAAAGGCCCCTGCGTCCATAATGGGGTATACAAAAATGCACTTAAACAAGCACCAGAAATTGCACAAAATGTCTGGTTAGAACTAACACCAAAGTATAGGCACCTGCTACTCTTTACAGTTGACAGTACATGATATTATTCTAACACTTTACTATAATAATATAGGACATTTTTGAAGGCATAACACAAAATACATTCAAAGCTACAAAGTCTATAACTAATATTGGTAAGAATAGTCTAGAATGTTGTTTTAGTTTGTGTATTTCAATGTATTTTAATTAATTAACCTGTTCTCGTGACAACTGAAGATTTGATACTGTCAGCGTGCCACATGAGGGAATATTGTTTTTCAAAATAAGAAAACATAAGTGAATTCTTTGGTATTATCTGCTTTTATGTCTGGCTACATTTGTTTAAAAATATAATCAGATCATCATCAAATAATTATGCACAAACCTTTTAACATAAATCATGTTGCTGTTGTACATCAGTCAAGCTATGACAGCATGGGTTGGAAAAAAGATGTGAAACCCCAATGACACCAACAAACGCTGTCTGGAGATGGGAGTTCTCAAACTTGGAGTCCAGTTTACAAAACAAGACTGGTGGTGTGGGTTAAAGCTACTTTGACAGCCAGACATTTTGAGTTTATTGTTCACAAAAAACATCTGCTGTTGTGATCTATGCCTCACAAAAATATCTCAGAATACTGGTCGTTAAGGGTAGTTGATTTGCATAAAGTTGGAAAGGGTAACAGTAATTTCAGAGTTTAGATATTCATCTGTCCATTATTAGACAAACTGTATTTATACAGTATGTAAATGATTTAACACAGTGTTGTTCTTTGGCTACACAGATGACTCCAAAGACACAATGCTGAATGTTCACTGAGGTAAAAAGCAGTTTTGGGTAATAGCCAAAGGCTTAAACAAGTTATTGGAGGTAGTTAACATCTTGATTTATGAGTGAGCATGTCCATGGCAGGACACCATGGAGGAATTCCACTGCTCTCCAATTAAAATATCAATGAATTTTGCCAAAGAGCATCATTACACTCCACAATGCTGCTGGGAAACCGTTTTGTGGCCTGAAGAAATAGAGTTTGTTTGAGAAGAACATGCAGGGCCATGTGTGGTCTGGGTAGGCCAGGAACACACTGACAAGGGAGATCAGGGCAACAAAGAGGAGCTTCTCTGAAAAGCTGAAAGCTCAGGTTTCAGCCACCGACCCGTCGTCTGTGTGGAGGAGTCCGAAAAGCATCACTGCCTATAGGAAGCCACCCCCCCACCCTCCCCACCTCAGACCCAGCAGCTCCTTCCCCAACAATTACCATCCTTCCCTTCAGCCCCCCCACCTCTAACGATCTGTGAAAAGGATGTGCGTGGCCTCTTTAAAAAACAGGATCAGAAAGGCACCAGGCCCAGATGGTGTGACCTCCTCCTGCTTGAAAGTGTGTGCTGATCAGCTGGCCCCCCCATCTTCACACTCACCTTCAACAGGTCACTGGAGCTGTGTGAAGTCCCTTCCTCCTTCAAACGCTCCACCATCATCCCAGTCCCCAAGAAAACCCCCATCAGTGGACTGAACGACTACAGACACCTGTTTATAAAGCACTAAAAACAACCAAGGTGGACCAGAGTGCTGTACAGTGTAAATAACAATATACATTAAAAATAAACACAACTTACAAGTACAGATAAAATCAACACCAATATAAGATATCAAAATGCCAACGAGAATAAATGAGTTTTCAAAGCAAAGAAGAGGCTTGTCTGATGGGCAGTGGTAAATGCACATGCACATTGAAAGCCGATGAACCAGAGTCAAATTCCTCGTGTCCAACCCACCTGGCCAATAAAGCAGACTCTGATTTCGATTCTGACCATATCAGGGGTGGCTGTCTACTAGCTGAAGCACAGCAGAAGCTGGGTGATGCAACAGGACAATGACCCTCAGCGCTGAAGTAAGTCTGCTACAGAATGAGTTCAACCAAGGAAAATCCTCTTGGAGTGTCCTAGTCAGAGCCCAGACCTTCACTTAAGATACTGTGCAATGACCTTAGAGAGCCTCAGAATAGGTTTGTACTGCAGCAGGTCTGTGTGGAAGAATGGCCCATAATTCTTCCTGAACCTTGTACAGGTCTGATCTATAAGGTACCAGAAGTGTTTTAAGGTTGGTGCTGCCAAATGAGGTTTGACCATTTATTAAAGTACAAGGCTTCATTTACCATTACCACCAGCTATAAAGGCATGAAAGATTATAATTGTATGTTACTAGCTTAAACATCATGGGGTTTTTTATACTTGTGACATACTGTAAGGGTTCACTTCTTCTTGCCAGTGTCTGCTTGTCCGTCCTGTCAGTGAGCACATCTGCTGTGCTGCTCATGAAACCTTCACCATGTGAACCTGCACAGATTTGAAGGACCAGGATGCCTTTAACATACAGAGTGCTTCTTTCTATTGCTCATATACTGCATTTTGTCATTAGTTCAGACTCATAATTCAAATTGAGCAGGTCCAATTTATATTTGAGAAGGTAGTGCAGCATTGTGTGCTCTCATGGAAACTAAAGGCTCTATTCTATTATAAAGCCACGTCCGGTTCTTTCAACCAGGAACTCAGAGAGACGAAGCGGACCACTTGAGTATATAAAAAAATATAACCGTGCTGGTTTATTCTAAGGGTCACAGGCAAGAATCAACATTACACGTCCAGGCATCTTCCACCCCCAAAACTGCGCGCAGGCAGCCCGGAAAAAGAAAAGACCCTGAACCCAAGATCTCTATACAATTTAATCACTTCGTTGGGCTAGCCCCATCCTACACAGGCCACGTCAAACCGTGACGTCACCTGATATGCCAGCTATGCAGCTGACCAGAGCAGTAGTCAAACATGGAGAAAATTCAAGTGTGTGGCTGTTGATTAGTGGTGTGTATCTAAAAACATACAGGACATTCAGGGACATGTCCGAACAGTAAGCCTCGGAAAATGTTATGATTAAGATTACGGCTGAGCATATCATGCTACTAGCAATATTCATCCTGCCGGCAGACTCTGCAATCTAGCTGACCTTGGCCTAAATGCAGCCTGCAGAACTCATGACAATGAACTGAGCATTTAACAGCCTGAGCTAGACATCCTGGCTACACCAGCATTTTCTAATACAACAGATCTCTAATCAATATCTATCCAACTAAGAAATTACCTAACAAAACCAATGTAAAAGTACACTGTGCTAGGAAGGCTAGCGAGACAGAAACTAGCCCAGGAATGGAGCAGGGTTGTTCAGACCCAGACAGTTTTTAAACAAAAGAAGTAATTGACAACCAAATATATGGTTTTGTTAGGTATTTTTAGTCAGATAGACATTGGTTAGACACTTGATGTATTAGAAATGTTTAGTGTAGACAGGATGTCTAGCTCAGGCTGTTAAATGCTTAGTCATTCTCATGAGTTACTGCAGGCTGCTTATGGTCAAGGATAACTAGATAGAAAGTTGATGACTGTTAGAAGACAGGATGTTTAGTATTATTATTATTATGACGTGTATAACTGTAGTCATAGCCATAATATTTTCTTATGTTTAATGTCATGACATGTCACTAGAGGTCGTGTTAGAATGTTTTAGCTACACACCACCAATCACACATTGATTTTCCTCATGGCCAGCTGCATAGCTGGCACCGGGAGACGTCACGGTTTGGCGTTCCTGTGTAGAATGGGGTTAGCCCAAAGCGATATAATGTACAGGCCTGTTGGGTTCAGGGTCTTTCATCTTTCAGCTGCCTGCGTGCATGTTGGAGGTGCAAGATACCTGAGTGTGTAATGTTAATTTTTACCTGTTCATTGAATAAATCAGCACTGTTTTAAAGCTACTTGGACTGCCTCGTCTCTCAGAGTTAGCATGGTCAAAAGTACCGGGTCCCAAAAGTTTAAAAAAAAAAAAAAAAAAACCCAGCAGCAATACAGTTGAAGATTTCCAGTGTTACATCTGAACCATTTAACATGTGACAGCCTGTAACATTGCACAATTTATAAAACTGACTTCTTTAGTTTGCATAGAAGCAACATATGGGTGTGTCAAAGTAATCTGGTAATTCTCCTCATAGACAAACAGTTCAAGTGAAGAGACCACAGGGAGAAGATAAAATGCCACCATTCATATTAGCCAATTTAGGAAAGACAGTTCTATTGGCATTATTCGATTGCCACAGGCAAAATCCATTTTCATTGTAGTCAAACAGTGTGTCATGTCAAAATGGAAAAATAAAAGTAGGAGAATATACTGATGTATCTTTATTATTTTAAAAACAACAAAATACTGTAAGTTACAATAGGCTTTTAAATTGCCATCTACTGTGGCAACAAAATCTGTATTAAAATGACCAGTCTAAGTGTGGAGCCTGTGGTGTGTGCACCATCCTGTCTGCACCAACATCCCATGTCTCCAACTGCTGATCAACCTCTGTGGCTCTGTGATCAACCTCTGTGGCTCTGTTGAAGAACAGGAAGGACAGATGGCAAAGTAACAGCAGCAGTAACGTGAAGAGAAAATAAAAAGCTAGTCAAAGATACAATGTCACCTAGCTATGTTTATTTTGCACCGGTGTACACAAAGCCAGATCGTTCTCATTAAATAGAGTGACCTATAATAATCAGGGACCACAGGAGAGTACTGGTGATTCACAGCTAATGTTTCTGTGCATGTAAAGATATAAGAAATAGATTTTATGGAAAACCCGAGCTAAGAATAGAACTAACATTTATCCTATATGATACCAGTTTCTGCTGAATATAGTCATGACCTGGTTACTCTACATAGCATTGCACTAAATTCTTTGAATTTATATACTACTATTGAGATTGGATGTACTGCATCTGCTATATGACGGTGTCTTTCTGCAGTTGTATGACAGCTTGAGGGCAGCGTAGAGCTCTGGAGTGCTGGGAGTTTGAACTTGGACTCTTCCCTGATGTGATCCAGAAGCAGCAGCAGCGGTCCCCGACCCAGCGGACGATGGGCTAATGGGAAGACAGCCAGATATGCTGGTGGGCCCCAAGCCTGAGGAATCTGGAGTCAAACACACAAGATGCTTATGGCTTTTGGAGTGACATTATTTCACTGCATTAAAAACAGATGACCCTTTAATTGAACTGCAGACTCACTGAGGGCAGTGCTCTCTCTCCTGTTGCTGCTCGGTGCTCCTTTACCAAACACGGGTGAGTCACACAGGAACTGGTGCTTCACAAGAGCGGCCTTCTGTTGCTCAAAACTGCGGCGCTGTAGACATGGCTAAATTAATTTCCATAGCAATATGCAACACTTAAACCACTACTGTTAAGTGCACAATTTGATCTTTAAGTACAGGGTTGCCTCAATTACAGTCCCCCCCCACACACACACACACAAGAACTGCTACATCCTTTAGTCACATTTTATTCATTTGTTTGTATTATCTATATGTTCATTTCAGCAGGCACTACAACATATGACAAACTAATCCATCCCTTTACAAACATCAGCCCTTGCCTCATTTTCTTCTCACCTCATGGCCCAGTCGGAGAGCAGCGTCAGTGAAGGACTTCCTCTCCCTTTCAAAAGTCCGCCTCTGATGCTCAAGCTCTGCTGCCCGCACCTGAAGGTGCTCCCACTCCTCCAGAAAGTAGGAATCAGCCAGCTCAGGAGGGACAGGTGAAGTAAGGCTATCCTACAGACAGAACCCAGAGAGTATTTTTAAGTTTGATACTGGCACAAGTTCACATGAGAAAGTGCGTGCACAGCACACACACTATCATACCTGTAGAAGCTGCTGTTGTAACTGGACAAGCTGTCGACTCTCCTTCAGTTCGGTTTCGAGTTGAGCCAGTAGTTTGTCATGGTCGGTACCTACACCAGTGTGGCCTACACAGTCAGAGACCACATACCAGTTGTATTCTTTAGGCCAGAATTTATCAGTGGTTTGGCAAAAATCAAAGCTTGCTATATACTTCTTATAAAATACAACTCAAAGTGTGTGTTTGCCTTCAGAAAAGATGTCACCCAGTCTCCTCTGCACCTGCCTCCAACTTTGAACCACTCCTCCTGTCACATGGTCACCAAGCGTCACCTCTACTTGATCCAACCCGTTTTCTTCATTTCGTTCCTCATCCTGAGCATCCGCCATGTCTGACAGGCTCTTTAAAAGGTTACTCATTTGTTACATTGCATATGTATTTGTGGTTCAGCATTACAAACTTTCAAGGTCAAGAGTTCACTCTTGACCTTGGAAACAGTACTTAAAACAACAACACATGGTCCTTTTGGTGGCTGTTCTAGACCTTTCACTCGTTCTACACTATCTTCCTCAGAGATGGCGTTGGCTAGTTGTCATGAAATTGAAAATGTTCATTCACATATTTCTGAGTACATTAAGGACTTAATCTTTGTTTGGGCTTGTTTTGTTACCTGCTGTTTTAAAGCTCAAGAATGAACTTTCAATCTCGACTTTATGTAATTCCATAACAACTGGGCAAGTTCAGATTTAGCTCTTTAACCCAACTCTGCAGCAACATCCACTTATGAAGACCATGTGGTACAACTCAAAGCTCCACAGGAGCTAATGAAAAGATCAGGTGGGGAGATTGTTGTGTTGAAATAACCAGTGTTTAGCAAAAGTATTATGGGCCAAGAGACCAGTGTTGGTTATTAACAAATTATATTTACTCAAGTACTGTACTTGAGTACAATTTTGAGGTATTTATACTTTACTTGAATACACCACTTGGGACCAAATGATATATCAAGCATCATATAACCTGAATATGAAGTATCCATTCTTTGACATATTTAATTGGGTATTAGTAACTGTTTCCATTTTACTGTATGTTACTTTATACTTGACTTCACTACCCTTCAGAAGCAATATAGGGCATTTTACTGCACTACATTTTCTTGATTAAACTTTACTTCACAGAGTCAGATTAATAATACAAAATACAGTAGGGTATAACTATGCGACTTTATCCAGCAGTATGTAAAGTCATTCAGTTTATACTGTAAGCAGAACTTGGTTAACATGAGCTCCACCTTTACCAGCTGCAATGTTAAAGGGGGAAAAAAGGGGCCCTCTTCCCCACCTGCTCCATGTTGACCCTGAGGGCATGGAGTAAAGTGGTGAGACTGTGGCGCAGCTTCATCGCCTCTCTGAGCTCTGCTTCTCTGCGTTCTAGCATTAGACGTAGTGCTGCTTCTTCTCTTCTGCAAGAGGGAGAGCAAAGAGGTGGAGAACAAAAGGCATAGATCAGAAAGTACAGTACACAATGACAACAGCCAACTTACTTCGCAGTAGACCTGAGCGATCTGATTAGCGGTTCTCTTTTGCCTCGACCTCCAGGTAGAAAGTTCAACACCTCTATGGCTGGACAGAAAAATGAAATGTGGTTATTTATGGCGAGATTTCAATATGTGATAAATTTCTGTGTGCGGACTATTCTGTGACTCTGCCTCACTGGGTCCTCTGTCTCTGTGTTTGTCAGTCAGCTGTGACAGCCGCTCCTTCAGTTTGCCGTTCTGCTGCTCTCGCCGCCTCAGCTCCATCTCCTGCTGGTTACAACGCAACTGCAGATGGGTACACTGGCAAGAAGAAAGATGTGTTTGAGAGCAGAAACACTGAAGGTTTTCAGGGAGAAACATCCATAGTGTCTCTCACACAGGCATTCATCTTACTTTGGCCCGCTCGCATTTCAGCATTTCTTGAAGCCTGGCCACATGCTCATCCATCTCCTTTAGTTGCTCCTACCAAATAAAATTTGAGTTTTTTGTCCAGAATTGGGAGCAATAATTGATTTAATTCACTGTATTTATACCCACTCTGAGTGAGTCTGCTTGGCTTTTGTCAGCCAACCAGGAGACGGAGAGCTCATTCAGAGGGCTGGGATCCTTGAGCACAGTGGAGTCTGTACACAAGAGAAGCAAGGAAATTACAGATGACCATGATATATTCTCTCAAAGACCTGTAGATGACCTCAGTAAAGATAATCACATTTCAGAAAGTGGGTACCAGTACCTGTGTACTCGTGGTGTCTTCCAGTTCCCCTCTGGTCAAATCTGGAAGCCATCTGGGAGCCATATTCACACATTGGCAACAAAGGGACAGTTTACTCACTTATTAAAGTTACTGCTCTACATCACACAACGGCTACGCACTGCACTATGTTCTTTGAACACTACAAATGACAACAGTGGATCAATTCATGTGTATGTTTCTAGTGACTCACCTGCACACCACTGCTTCCTCAGATAGATGTGGCCTCTTCAGTTTCCAGGTGATGCCACTTCTGCTAATTACAAGTGACAAAGGGCTAGAAAAAGGAGGCCGCAGGCGTCTTGTTATTCATTCAAATAAGGTGGTTTCTGAAGGTGCTGTGGACCAAACTTAAAAAAAAAAAAGATATATCCATAATGGGAGGAGAAAACCCAATAATCCCCGAGATACATGCAGACTTAGGTCTACATGCTAATCTGGTTGGTTTAAGAGCAGCAGAGATGTTTTATGGAGCATAAAACAATTTTAAGTCTCAAAATCCAAATCACATCAGCCTAATGTCACATGTCAAGGGAATCTGAGAATTTTGAGAGCATAGACGTTACAGAGACCGTCACATGTCAAGGGAATCTGAGAATTTCAAGAGCATAGATGGAACAGAGACTGAGTATTTTCAACATATACACGTTTCCCCTTTCAAATACAGTATAACAAAGATCAATAAATCAGTGTTAGAAATTTTTCAGACACTTGTTTTGAAACAATTCAGCACTGACAGACTGAATCTACAGTGAGTTAAAAGTGCTGTCCCATATTATCCTGTTGATTTATGACAGTATGGCTAGATGTCCACCATAGTCATTTGTTCATCAATAAATTATAACTAAGTAAATTCAGTCCACCAGTCCACTGGGCATTTTAATAACCTCCCCATTCATTTCATTATGGGTGACTCTGCATGAATGATGTACTTGTACATGGCCTATCACCCGTGCATGGGGGGTTTATGTCATCTGTAAACTGAAGGCTTATGAGTCATGAAGTCTAAGAGACAAAAGGTATCAAAAATGTTAAATAAAAATGGTTTTCTTATGCTGTTGGCACAAAAGGACTGATATTCAAAAACCACATACAGCAATTCTTCATTGTCTGATAAAGTCATTTAATTTGTAAGATTGCCCAGAGTAATCAAAGATACAGGCTAACAGTAGTAAATGTTTTAGTTGATAGGAACATGATTTCAGTGTGGAAAACAATTAATACATTAAGTCACTTCAGTGTGATTCATTAAATGCAAACAATATTTGGAGGTTCTGAATAGACAGGAACATTTTCTGTTTGGGTATTCAAAGAGACACATTCAATTTGCTAACAGGTTTCACTATCCAAATAGCGTAAGGCCTTGATGTGCTTGTTTTTTTTTTATTAAAGACATATACAGACTAATAAAAGCAACTTTAACTTGCTGTTAAATATACACAGAAAAAGACGGGATGGAGGGTTAATCACCTATCACGTGCTCTGCACGGAAAGGGTTCAAATCTGTACCATGCCGTCGTACCTCAAAGTAGTATTAACACCTTTACCACTGCCACAAATACACGGGTAGTTTAAGACACCAATCAGTTTAGCTCAAAAGTTAAATCAGCATGTCTGTAAGCCACATACCCAGCTAGTGTTTTGTAGAGACACATTATATGCAATACAGTGTATATATAACACATATTCTTATTTGGTTTAAATTGTTTGTTTCGCCACCTGCCATACAAAATACAAGAGGAAGTTGCACTTGCAGAAGCCAGTCACATGGGATGAATTTCACCGCCTGCAGATGGACACTGGCATGTCAATAAATTGAGACTGGGCATGTTTAGTCCAAAGTAAACCAAGAGCAGCTTAATCATTAGTCAAGTTAGTGTCAGTAACATTTTTGGCCCTGTTTTAATGTAACAGATGGGACTTATGATACTATTAGTTTTGGCAAATAAGTGGACCCCTCCCTCAATCAGCCCCAGGCTGCATCATCCAAAGAGGAGCTGGTTGCTCTGCAACAACATGAAGTAGAAGTGAAGAAAGCCTTCGACAGATAAAATCAGGGTGCTGCTGTAGACAGAAAAACAGAGACAAAAATAAAAATACATTTAAAAGGAAAATCTTTAATGATGGTTGCTTCAGTTTGTGTATCCTGGTGCTGTGTATGCTGGCTGGCAGTCACACTGTTCTGACTTACTGGAGCACTAATGTTATTGATAACAACTGTTTCTACCGTGACAAGTCAAAATTTGTGCTGGTGGAAAATGCCTGTTCTTATTGATACATGTAGTTTGGTGACCCTGTACAGCTCTAACAAAAGGTCTAGTCAGTGAGAGTGAAAACACCTGGCAGTGTCTGAGACCTTTATCATTTACACAGCAATTAGTAAACAACAACTGGGGCATGTCCACACAGTGTCCTACATGTAATGTATGTACAATATACTGTACAATGTTTTTAATAATAAGATTGATGAATCTATGAATCTTATTACATTAGCTCAGCACCTAAGTTTCTTTTACAGTTTACCATTACAACCGTATGATGTGGACACAGATGGGTCAATTTCAGTGCACTTTTTTGTGTTTTGTAATAACAGTTTAGCCACACCAGCTTGGCTAGTATGGTAATCATGTTAAGCAGAGCTAGGGATTCATTAAACAATAAAGCCTATTTTATATAGTAAATGTCAATTTACAATAATGCAAGACCAAGAAAAGCATCAAATTCTAACCTTTGAGAATGTGGAACCATCAAAGTTATCATCATTTTTACTTGATACATAACTAATTAATTGATTAAATACATTCCAGAATTTATTTATTTTTTGGATCCACTAATCAATTAATCTTAGACTTTTATACAAGTTCTTTGCGTCTCTGGAGCACCTGCCTGAATTTACTAGCTTGATTTCAGTCTAAACTGAATGTGAAAGCATAATTAAGTTCATTCCAAGTGTAATTAATTGTTCATTTTAACTCCCCAGCTGAGGCCACAGTGAGGGGGGGGGGGCCCACCTCAGAACAGGGAGCAGGACTTGGGGGGTCTGAAAGGATTATCACTGGAGGGGACCCCGACCAAGAGAGGGTCCTTGGATGCATTTTGCAGACAGAAGTTCCTCAGCTCAGCAGCAGCCTGGGACACCTGGATGGTTGTGGCATGTGTATGAAAACAAACAGGCTGTCACATATAGAGTATTTGCAATGCCCCACCTTGTCTGCTGCCAGCCTACTTATTCTCATTTACATACATAAACTAACTGGCCCTTATTTGCATATGATTTTCAAGCAGCGGTGCAAAACACGAATGGGTGTGTATACTATGTAACATTTGAGACTCCGTTAATCTCTTTCCATTAGATATCCAACACTGAGAAGTTTCACTTTAATAAACGTGTCACTTCTGTCGATCCAACTACGATTTCTCTAGACGGTGAATGCAGTTACATCACGGGAAAACACTTGTGGTTCACTAAACCAGAAAACAGTTTGGTCATAGGTGTAACGTAACTTTGTGGATCACTTTGCTCAACCTATGATGTGAGAGTCCACCTCTGCAACAGTTTGTGTCCGCCATTCAGCCGTAGCTTAGCACAGTCTTCCGTATTTGACTGTTGGTTGAGGGGTTCCTACCTTGATTCTTCGGATACTGGCCTCTAACCGGAGCTGCTTCACGGCCCTCTGAGCGACAATTAAGTTGTTGCTGGCATTGTTGTTGGACATGACGACAAGAAAAGTTGAAAGTTGTTACATACAACTACCACCACCGAACGGAAACTGACCCCAACTGCTCGAACTAAACCCGTGTGGGAAACGTTGGTCACTCTGTGCCCCGCCCCTCTATGCAAGCTAGCCGTTTTATTGGGCTATAGGCCTGTCAGTCAAAAGGTGACGACAAAGACACGCTCTCAGAATATTATGAGTTTACTAGAGAAGGTATACAACGACCTTCACCCACAACACAAATGCTTATTCACACCAAGCTGGTGGTATTTTAAATGGAACATGTTAAACTTGAGGGAAAACTTTGTGCTGAGATGCACAACATCTCAATTCAATAAAGTCTTGGTGGTACATACAGTATATTCACCAAACTAGCAAAGAAGGGTTCATGCTACATTCGGTTTGGAGTCAATGTAAAGTAATATGAGAGCCAGAACCACAAACCTATACCAGGTGTTTTTTATGTGAATTCTCTGAGCTAAAGAGACCATAACTGTATACATGTGTACAACTGGTGAGAAACTCTCCACTTTCACCAGACGAATTGGGCAGTCCTTCTTGCCCAGAAGGACTGGATTTAAAAAGTTTTCTTCTGTGCTTATTAGGCATGAAAACTGCATCTAACATCAACAGCCAAAGCTTTGCTTAGTTCCTGCAAGTTCCTGCCAAAGGTTGTTGAAACATTTCACTCCGTCAACCTCATGGTAGCACCAGAGGAAAGGTCAAAGTCATAAGGATTATCTGTACTAACTTTCCAAAAATGAAAATAGAGGAACTTAATATCCCATTTGAGGACTGCAGAGGCCAGTCCTATGACAACGGCGCCAATATGAAGGGAAAAAATAAAGGTGTTCAGGCAAAGTTGCTTCAGCTGAACTCAAGAGCTTTTTATGTCCCATGTGGTGCCCACACTTTAAATCTGGTAGTAGCTGATGCTGCAAAAAGCTCACCAGATGCCCTTGGCTACTTTGGGCATTTGACAAAGTTATTCAAGCTCTTCTCAGCCTCCACCCATAGGTGGGATGTCCTCTTGAAATATGTGAAAATCACTCTGAAATCATGGGCTGAGACCAGATGGGAAAGCAGGATAAAAAGCATAGAGGCAGTAAGGTATCAGGCTGGGCAAGTCAGAGAGGCTCTTCTGGAGGTGAAGGAAAAAACTGCAGACCCTGTGGTGAGAGTTGAAGCCCAGTCTTTGGCTGAGGAGATTGGATCCTAACGCTTTTGCATTTGTACAGCCATATGGTATGACATTCTCAGCAAGATCCAGCATTTCGGGTAAAGTTAATTTTTACCTGTGTTCATGGAATAAATCAGCACTGTTTTGTAGTTACTTGGACTGCCTCGTCTCTCAGAGTCAGTATGGTAAAAAGTACCGGGTACAACAAGACTTAGCCAGAGGAAATACACTGTAAAGTTCTTTTTAATCAGGAAAGTCTTATAGATCATGGTAGCACCAAAAATACACAGAAGGGAGGATAAATATACCTTTTACTACTATTGTTTCTTTGATTGTTGTTTAATAACATTACAAAGGTAATAATAAATGTAAGGAATGAAATGAACCATGGATACTAAGATTTAATCATACAATGTAACACCATTTTTTATTATTTCTTATTAATTAAACTCCCCCACCTTGATTAGAAAATGATCAGAAAATAGAATGTGTTTGCATCATTACTGTAGGTCATCAGCTGCCTTTGATGACTTGTCCCCTGTTGATCAAGAAAGAAAAACATGGTTAATAATTTTGTTTAGATGACTGTACAGAGACATCAGACCTGAAACGAGATTGTAATTCATACTCACAAGTGATTGGACCAATGGTGAGGGGCTTCACAGGAATAGAGTGGGAAACAGAGCGATGTGTCCGACTTGAGCAAAACTACACAGGGTGAAAAAATAAGAAATAGCATAAAACCCAGTGCTTAAGCAGCACTCAATAAGGACATGCTGCAGATGCAGTGAAATGTGTGACTCACTGGAACACAATTGTGAGTCCTCCGGTTGCACAAGCTTAGGTTGCAGTGAAGATAGACATTTTGGTAGTCACCCTGGAACAGGAAGAACAGGGCAGAAAAACGAGCCTTGAGGGATGAGCCGTTCTCAACCACTGACACCTGTCGGCGGTCAGCAGGACACCTAGCAGAGGATGGAGCAGGTCATCAGGTAAATTACACATACCTACACATTTAACACTTTCCCATTTCATTATTCTCCACAAAACTTATACTGAGACTCTAAAGCAGTGGTTCCCAACCTGGGGGTCTCGACCCCCACTAGAGGGCGCCAGGCCATTTTCATTTTAGGGGGAGTAAGATTTATTTTTTTTGGTCTCAGCATTTGGTTCATTTCTATGAAAAACAACAACAACAATTTTAAGGGTTATTATATACTGTGCTACTATATGTGGAATGCCTCCAAGCTGAGGATGAGCTCATGGATATCAAGTCAAATTCTCTCTTCAAGAGATTCTACATCACACATGGATACAAGCAGTTTTGGCTTATGAAAGGACCGGACATCATTCCAAGACTAGATATAGGCTAAGGTAAATTATCTGATATATTGTAGCATACACAAGAAATAACATGTTCAGGCTTTAATAAACAAACTACTAGGCATACACAAACTTACTGCAGGTATTATGTTCACTGTTGGGGTTCATTGTATAGTGTTTAATGTCTCTGTATTGTTATATAAGTTACATAAATTGTGAAATATCCATAAAAGAAATTTGAAATAAAGTATTCTATTTTCTGTTTGTAATTGTGTGTGTGAGGTTAAGGGGGTGGGGTCGACAGCAAACCCAATGATAAAACAGGAGTCTCTTTAGGAAAAACAGTTTGAGAACCACTGCTCTAGAGGGACACTTACTTATTCTGGATGAGAAAGTATTGCGCTGGATCACTAGAGTTTGGTGAGTGAGTGGAGTAGCAGTCCTCCAGAACAACTACAAATCCTGTATCTCTCTCTTCCACAGAGATGCCCACAAACAGAGGTGAGCCCACTGGGAGGCTGACCCAGCCTGCTGGATAAGCCTCAGTGAAGTTGGAGTTGCGGAACAGAGACATGGATGCTCTGGCAGGTTCACCCACACCCGAAAGGCCACCTGCCAATCTGTCAAGAAAATATCCTTTTTATTATTTTTTTCAAGGATTTTTGGGGTGTGGGGGTTAATGATTTACTATTCCTTTATTAACCCAGAAAGTTCTGGACATTACTTGGTGTTTAGGCAGTAAAGATAAACAATTCTGTAACATCTGCAGCTAGACAAGAGAGGATGAAATGTTTTAAAACTGTAAGAGCACATTCATTACAAACAACAAGCGACAAAATAACAGGGTCCTTTCACTATGTGCTAGGTAGCTCTACAGTATTACCACCATTCAGGCTTCTTCAGGTACATCCTTGCCACCTTTGCAGAGGATGCTGTGCTAATGCTGTGTTCTTTAAAGTATAATCAGGGGACAAACTAGATAGATTAGCTTTACATTACAGCGAATGCTTGGGAATTTGACTGATACCAGATTATACAACGAACAACAACAAACCTTGCCCAACAAGTAACAATTCAAATCCAGTTGTCATACTGAATCAGATCTCGTTTCTCCCTTTAGAACAAGAAAAATACAGTCCACCATTCTCTCTTTTGGATTGTTACAGAATAAATAACAGTTAACTAATAACAATACAGTTTTACTTTTCTGTATATTACAGTATGTGACACTGTTGTTTAGAATGATAGTCTTACAAGTCAACTAAAAAATTTTAGTTGTGATTTTGCCAATCCCAGTGGTAGTATAAAAAAAAGACACTGTGGCAGACAGCCAGGCATGCTTACACTAAAATGAGTAGGTAAAACAACACAGAGTGGAACCATTTTCACCATGCTTGTCTTAATTATGTGATGTCTTAATAATAAAGAGAAAACTGTAAATGGTGAGTGATGTCACATAAAAAGCTACTTACGGCAGGAATGGGCTGATAGCCACATTCAGGCTGGTGTCTGTGTCGAGGGGATACACACAGAAGAAAGGAAGCCTCACAGAAGGTGTGAAGTATGTGTTGTTCAGTGGGTAGACAAATAAACTGTTGGAGTAGATGGCATGTGTGCTGTTGGTCTGAAAGACAGAAGATTATGAGTAAACTGAATGTCACCTTGTGACATACAGGCAAAGCCCAAAGCTAAAGGTATAAAGACTACATGCAGAATGTGTATATGATAGTGCAGTTTATGTCTGAGGTCTGCAAAAATCCATGTGGCCTGGTGATCCATAAGGCCAAAGTGAGATGCTTGAGGGGGTGCAAGCACTATTGAGCAGGTCAGGACCATCATACTCCTTAGCAGCGAAGGTAAGGTATTCTTTAGTACTGTTGCTCGATGCCTGATGGAGTACCTCCTGACTCCAGGTGTCTAGTGGGGAGTTGAAGGAATTTCTGGCAGAAGTAGAAAGCTCAAGGCTGACAGGAAGATCAAGCCCTGGCTCTATCAATCCTTGTGGCCCCACTGACTACTGTCAAGGGCTTTGAAAGGAAGATTTGCTGCTTCCTGCAATAGTGACTGCAACGGTGGCTCCTCTGATATCAAAAGATAAATCCTAATTCCTTTCACTGCATCCACATTTCCCACACTTGTGTCCTTTTTTAGTCCCACCCACCTACAACATGAGGAGAAAATGCAAGGAAAAAATGTGAGGAGAGAGGAATCGAATACAGGGATTTTTAGAGACATGTCCTATTCCTCCTCCACCTGAAGCATCCAATCACTAACTGATTTCCAGTAAAGGGGCATGTCAATGTATAAAGGACTTCCCTGAAGGGAAGAAGCCATGACAATATTCAAGTTAATCCAGTGGGCTTCTTGCCACTGCAGGTTTGCAGCAGAAGGCTGATCTAGGGACCCAGCTCAAGTTCTCACACACCACAGCAGAGACCACATTCAGCCCAGACATGGTACTGATGAGCAAGGCAAATGGTCCTGTTGGAACTGATCAGATGGTGAAGTATGCTGTAGATCTGGTAGGCAAGTGCCATAGCTGTAGTCACACAGTATATGATCACTGAGGTTGACTGCAGAGAATTTGCCAGCCAGTCCCTATGCAGGGCCTTTCAAGGTGAAGACAGCCACAGAAAAGGCATTAAAATCACTGTGGCTCAAGAACTGGGACCATGGACCACGCATGCTATTTGGACACAAGCAGAGGCCTAATCAGCACTGGCAGAGTTGCCTGACTGAGGGTGTCCAATACTGAAAGATCTGATAAAGACCATGACCCCAGCTTGTGCATCACTTACTGCAACATCTTCATGCTGCAATGACGTTTTACACTTTTGAATAATTACCTTCAACTCCAACCAACAAACCAATGTCAGTTTGGGATTTCTAAACTATGGTAACCACAGTAATATGCTAGCTGTCTGCACTTAAACCTGAACGGAAACATAACACAACAGACAGTGTAGTGATACACTGAGGTAGTGCAGTCCTAAGTGACCTGAAAGAAGAGGAAGATTCAAAATCAGGATTATAGCAAAAAGAAGAAAAAAAAATCAGTACAATATTTACCCTAAGTGTGTTTCCACAGGCACCTTCCTGAGCATCCACTTCATACCAAACTACACCATCACGCACTCTGACCCAGGAGCAGTTATGGACTGCCAAGTTTCCAGAGAACGCGTTCAAACCAAAGGATGTCATGATGGCCACATCCAGCGCGACTTGAATTTTATCACGGCCACAAATAAGATGAGAAGGCTGGAATGGAGGGCGCTGGACTAAAAAAAAAAAGGTCACAAATAAAATGTGAGAAAGGAGATGAGCTAGTAAATACCACATAAAACAAAAATGAGAACCTCCATTAACCTTCACCTCAGTATGTAATTATTTAACTGTTATACGTTAAAACATTTCAAAATATAAAAGAAAACCTACATTCACAAACAACACTAGCATCTTCTCTGTGAGCACAGTTGTGAACCCCAAACTCTGGATGTCTGCAGTCTGTTATTGATAGTTCGTTTCCTGAACAGTGGACATTGTCCAACCAGATGGGTCCTGTGCCCGGTCCAAAAGCTGCATTGTGTAATGCAGAACGAGCCCCGCCACAGCCCAGCTGTCTGCACACCACCAGAGCATCGTTCAGGTCCCAGTTATCGTCACACACCGTCCCCCACTGTCCATTGTGGAAGATCTCTACTCTTCCAGAGCAGGAGCTGTTTCCTCCATTGGCCAGGCGGACCTGCCCTTCAGCTGTCGTACTGTTGTCTGGGGGTGTCACCTGAGTGTTGTTGACATTCGGACTCACTGAATAAGGTGTGGTTGGTGAAACTGCAGCATCTGTTCCATTCACCTCTGTAAAAATGACAAAACACGCTATACTGATGCTAAGCCAATGAAAGTTTGTTCATAAATTGTTTCAATCAGAAACAAGAGGACTCTATGTCTTGGCTGGCCTTAAACTACAA